ACGGACTGGGACATCTTCAAGAATTCCAATAGGGCTAATAGTAGACTGATCAGCAAATGTCAATGTAAGTTGGGCCAGTTTAGGTTCTCCCAAATTCAACTTTTTGCAAAGTGATAGAGGCATAACATTAACACTAGCTCCAAGATCACAAAGGGATCTTTTGATCATATGGCCTCCAATTAAACATGAGATTGTGAAACTTCCCCGGATCTCTATGCTTCAAAATGCTCATACTTTCACTACGTGCCAAGGCCCTATACTCTTGTGCCATAGCCACCATCTCATTATCCCCAAATTTTCTTTTCTTAGCAAGAATATCTCTCAAAATTTTTCCGTAGGATGGAACTTGTGAAAGCAAATAATCAAGTAAAGAAATTGAAACTTTCAAACTCTCAACTACCACCAAAAACTTTTTCCACCTACTCTCTTTTACTTGCTTTTGAAATTTTTAAGGAAAGGACAATGGTGGTTCATACCTTCTCACGGGCTTCTCTACCTCATCATGAACTTGTGGATTATTCTTCACAACAGCTGGCTCAATTTCTTCCCCCTCAAGTTTCTCCTCAATCTCCACATCAACAATTTTATTTGGAGTTGATGTTTTGATTGGAAGAGATGGTTCTCCAAGTATCTTGCTACTCTTTGTAACAATTGCATTGACATGTTCTCTAGGATTTTTGGGGCAAGCGGGCAACTTTCCAATGACTTTGGTGCAAGATGTAGAGGCTTGATTGGCAAGTTGATTCTCTAGCATCTTATTGTGGGCACTCAATTGATCCAACCTCTCAATCACTTGCTTGATCCTTTCTTCGCTTTGCAGCTGGGACTTGAGCAATATGCTCATCATAGCCCCCAAGTTTGGTTGTGGTGGGGCCTCCAGAGTGGGTAGTGGAGGTCTGGTTGAGATTGCATACCTTGGAATGTTGCCCTTGGAAATCTGGTGCACCTCTATTAACAAAATGTTGGGGATTTGCAGCCCCATTAGATTACTCCATGAAAAACCTGGCTGGTTCCTTGATGAATTTGGATTATAGGTGTAACAACCCAAAATTTCAATTTATAAATCCGGTATTAAGAAAATTCAAAATAGCTTTTTGACTCCATTAAAAATTTTTGCGATCAATCTGTGTGTGAATAAAATAATTTTCGTCACATTTTGAAATAAATTCGACACCGAAGAAGAGTATTTCTTTTGAAAATTCCAAGTTATCGGGTACTTCGCGTACCAAGATTTAAATCGAGAATTTTATCCGAGTGAGACCGGGAGAATTAAAAAGGGAATTTTGAACAAGTGTTCATCCATATGGTTTTTGGAAAAATTCACTTTCCACCCAAAGTAATAAAGAAATATCATTTTTAGCCTATGGTTCATGATACATGGTGGACCACAAGACATCCAAAAATCCCTTATAAAGTCATTTTAGCTTGGGGAAATTACCCCTTTGCCCTCAACCAATCATTGTATATCATCATATGGTTTTGGACCCTATATAAACCCTTCATTCCATCACATTTTCATTGCCTCTTCCTCACTTTTGTCTGCCAACATCCAAGGAGAAAAGCTCCAACTTAGTAAGCATTGTTCATCCTCCTTTCTAGCTTCATTTTTCTTCTAGTTTCTTTAGTCTTTAAGGTTTTAGGCAAAGGATAAAAGGTGTGTTGGGAAGTGAAAGTGGTGAAGGAGGCTCAAGCTTGACCAAGAGGAAGAAGAGATCCAAGCTAGAAGGAGAGGTCTACAAGAGGTATAACCCCATGGATTCCTCTTTAGATTTGGCTATGTGAAGCCTAGATTTGAGTATAAATGAGTAGAAACTATGAGTTTTTGATGTGTTTATGCTTAGAAATGCTTTGATATGTGTTTATGAGTTGTTGAGATTGTTTTGGACATGTTTGGACAAGATTTTGCAGGTGAAAAGCTATCTGGTGCACAACACAGTGTGCACCAGACCAGAGTGGCGGCCGTAGCCGCGGCCCATTAGAAGGGCCTCCGGCTAGAGCCGTGCCACCACGGGACTAGGCACGGCCCTAGAAGAGGGTCGTCGCCTAGTCCCGGCGTAGTAGCGGGTCTATAGGGGCGGACCATGATGAGTCCCGCCCTAAGTCCCTGAGTGATGTTCTGATTAGATTTTGTGCAGTGGCCGGGCCCTTGTGGCTAGCTACGTGTCGTTTCGGACCGAGTGTTACGAGCCCTTGTGGCTCGGCTCTTCGGGACTCTTCCCACGTTTTGGCTTTTGACTTCGTTGAATTTGGATTAAAATCGAGTATGCTATGAATGATTTTGTGAAGAAATGTGACACAGTGCATATTTCGCCTAACTCTCTGTATTTGAGAAATTGTTGAATTTGTGATCAAACAATGTTCTTATTAAGTAAGGAAGCATGATTAAATTGTATTCTTTGATCCATGAGAATAGAAGCATACTTGTTGAAAGAGATGTATACAAATTGCTATTTTAACAAATCGAGCATGATGATGTATCTTTGAATACTTCATGTTAGTTTATACATGATTTAGAAGCATGTTATAGAGCATTTGACATTTCACATGAGTCATATTTCAAAAATGCATAAAGGCCAACGTGAGCTCAAGAATACTTTCAAAAACCATAAGCATGTGGTACACATTATTTGATGCATTCATGCATCAGCATGGCAAGCTGCCATATATAACTCAGTACATAAGTATAATAAATAGATAAAATTTAACAACTAGGTGGTAAGGCATGCGTATCATCTTTTTAAGAATCGAATCCTTCCTCAGCGAAGATTTTATCCCTGAAAGCGTGCATGTTATATATTTCTTATGATTTTTAGATTAATACTTTGTATTAATTGTGAGATAATGAGACGAGATGTGTTTATAATGTATTTTTATTTGAATTATTTTATCAAATTAATTATGGTTATGAATATTTTTTATAAAGTTTTAATGTGTTTTATTTTTCGACAATATTTATGCTATATTTTGTGTTTTAATGCGTTTCGCCCCACTGGAAAAATTTTCTGGGCCACTGGATGCATGAGAGATATATTTATGTATTATCTATATCGTGTGGTTTTGGAGGATACCGTTTGGACTATTTCTTCTCAGGAGATATTTACGGACATTGCGGTCCGAGAGTATGTAACGCGGTGTATTCCCACGTTACGAGGTTAGAAACTTCCCGCCAGGCTTGGAATCATGGTTAGGGGTGTGCACACTAATAGTACACTAATAGTTCGATACTTGATTCCAAAGAGTTTGAACCACGAGATTGGTTCCGTAGACGGTAGGAGATATTAGGTCGGAATTATGCCTTTCCCGATGGGGTAAGTCACACTTCTGTGAAACCCTAAACCGTGTACGAGTATAAGAGAAAGAAAGAGAGTCAACAGAAACTCAAAAGAGAGTCAACAGAGACTCAAGAAAGAGAGTCAACAGAGACTCGATTATGAGAGTCGATACAGACTCGATAGAAAGAAAGAGAGTCAAGAAAGACTCGAGGAAGTAACAAAGAAACCTCCAAATAAAGTACTCTATTTTATATTTGAGTGTATGATTGTATTATTACACTAGATTGCATATGAATATGAGTATATTATTGCACTAGATTGCATAAGAGTATGAGTGTATGATTACACTAGATTGCATATGAATATGAGTATATTGTTGCACTAGATTGCATAAGAGTATGAGTGTATCATTACACTAGATTGCATAAGAGTATGATTATATTGTTGCATGAGATTGCATAAGAGTATGAGTGTATTGTTGCACTAGATTGCATAAGAGAGTATGATTATATTAATGCACGAGATTGCATATGAATATGAGTATAATGTTGCTAGATTGCATAAGAGTATGATTATAATGTGGCACTAGATTGCATGAGAAGCATGTTCATAATGTTATACATGACCTTGCGAATAGAACATCGTAAAAGATTGTTTAATGAGAAGTTTAACTTGAGATGATCCTTGAGCATGATTATTGTGATGTAGTAAAAGTTCTACTTAATAAGTTATGTGATAAGAGTGTGATAGCATGTGAACACTTGTTATATGATCTTTAAACATGATCCTATCTGTAAGCATGAATTGCTTGATAACTATTTGAAAAGTCTATATGTATATAAATATACGTGATTAGTCTTATTCATATGTAAGCATACCAACTGATATTATAGGGTGCAAGCATTTAGAAAGAATATGATGAACTAAAGATGTTTTGAGGTTAGCTTATTGCTATAAAGATATCAAATGTTTTCAAAATATATGCTAGAATGCTTTACAGGGTTGAGTGTGGTTATACTTAGCTTCATGCTAACGAGTGTTTTCCTATTTGTCTATGTGTTGCTTGCAAAACCCCTTTCAGGTGGGCCTAGCAGTGAGAAGAGATCGAGTTAGATTAGTCTCTTAATCTGAGCTATCTAAACTCTAGTTCTATTTATGATGTCTTTTGGAATTAAACTATGACCTTACACTTATGATGACGTTTGATGATGTAGACTATTTTGGGTGACGTCTTTCCCCCTTATTTTTCAGTATTTATTTTAATACCCAGACTTAATTGTATGTTATAGTTTTACCCCTTTAGCCTGTGCAATCACCAAGAGTGGTGGTTGTGGCGGTGACACCCTCACTACTTATTATCTAGTTTTCCGCTGCTTAGATTATGTTAATGACTGTTTAGAGAGATAATTAGAGTTACAAAAGTGGGTGTTACAATAGGCCCCTTGAGGTTGAAAAGATTGTTGTGGTGGCGTATTATATCCAACCAAATTAATATGCTCCATGGGAGATTGAGAACTTGAATCATTGAGACATTCTCCCAAATTATGTCCACCACCACAAAGATCACACATCAAAACTTGATTAGAAAGATAGGAGGAGTAGAAACATAACTCATAACTTGATTTTTTAGGGTGAATTGAGCTAGCTTTTGAACCAGTGAAACCACATTATTCACCTTAGCTAACAAAGTGGAAGTTTGCTCCACTTCATGCATTCCCCTACAAGTTTTTAAGAAGATCTCTCTGAGTACCATGTTGATCCATTCATAGCAATCTTCTCCAAAAGTTCTTCAGCTTGGTTTGGTTCCAAAACTGTGAATGAATCACCCGAAGAAGCATCAACTAAAATCCTTGATTTTTCAAGCAAACCTTCACAGAATACCATAATTAAATCCCAATTTTGGAAGCCATGGTGCGGTCACTTCCTTCTTAGTTCATTGAATTTCTCCCAAGACTCCGTTAGAGTTTCATTTGCCAATTGCTTGAAACTTTGGATCGCCGTCCTAATCCTTTGAGTCTTTGAGATTGGTAGAACTTATTCAAAAATTCCCTATCCAATTGCTCCAAGTATCAAAGTGGTTGGCTGGAAGTGAGATGAGCCAACCATGAGCCTTATCACTTAGTGAGAGGGGAAAAAGTGTAAGCTTGATGGCTTCTTGAGGGACACCATTGATTTTGAAAGTGCCACATATACGGAGGAACGTTGTGATATGAGAATTGGGATCCTCCGTGGGTGACCCTCCAAACTGATCAGTAGTGATCATGTGTAAGATGGTCAGCTTGATTTCAAAGTTGTTGACCTCCACACCTGGAATATTAATGCTATCATGCTCCTCAACATCAGGAGCAATGTAGTCAGACATGGATCTTGCTGCGGCAGGAGGTTGTTTAACTTCCTCTCCTTCTCCATTGAGGTTCACATTGACTTGATTTGGTACCTGGGCCATCCTTCCTTGTTTTCTAAGAAACTTGTCTATCATTTAAATCTCTAGGTTCAAAGGTAATAATCATTCCTTCCCCAAAGATCGTGTCGCATACAAAACCAAGTTCTTAGATCAAGAGAGCACAACTCAACAAAAAAAACTTGTTATAGATTAGCTAAAATAAAATAAAAACAAAAAAAATGTATTAGACTCCTCGAATAAAATTTTCACTAATATCAATACTTAAACGTCACTTCCCAGGCAATGGCGTCGATTTGGTTACGGTATATTTCTCAAACAAATAATTACCCGGAGTATCGAGTTATCGATCCACAGGGAAGTGGTGCGTATTAAGCACTAGCTACTAATTTATTCTTATGAGCTAATCCTAACGAAAGACATGGATGGTTGATTAAAACAATTAAAGGAAAACAAAGTATGCAGGTTTGTGAAAACAATAGGAAGATGATGAGATTCCTGGGATTCAAGCATTTAATCACCTAGTGCCAATCTAATGTGCAATATTAAATCTGGGTTTAAACAAGTGTGAGAATGCAACAAGGGAAAGAGTTACTCCCGTAATCTCTAACCTAAAATAAGTGACTATTCACTCCCGTGATATAAACACTCAACAATGTAAGAACAAGCATTCATAATAAACTCCTAACTACTGCAATAATCAAGAATTAAACTCCTTAAATGCAATTTGCCCTCTCCTAATGTCCAATAGTTAAATGCAATTGTGTGTGCCCTAAATTATGCCTAACTCCTGTTATGACACAAAGAAAGCTATGAAACAAGTAACTATGGCACTAATTACAAGCATCAACAACATAAACCACAACTGCAACACAAGTATAAAACCCAAATATTAATATATTAAAGAATCTGAGAGCACAGACACATAGGTTCATAAATACTTTTTACCCAAGAATCTCTAAGAAAACTTAGCCACACATGGCTAACATGAAATACATAACAAATATAAGAGTTTACAAGTAATCTAAAAGACTACAAGAATTAAACCAAGTGATTCTCCCAAATCTCCGTAGCTTGCTTCTTATTTCCCTAAACAACTTGTGACTCTTGATTATCTTCTTTCTTGTCTCCAAAACTGAGCATGATTATCTAGGGTTGAGGAAAGAGTCCTTTTATAGCAGGAGCAAAGTAGGGACGAAATGGGAATTTTCCTCGCGAGATTAGGAAACTGCCACGTTGCTGAATTCTGCCGCTCGACGCGTCGAGTCTTGCTTGTTAGGAACATATGTAATAGGATTTTGATGATATCAATGTAACCTAGAAGTAGACCCCTAACTTTTTATCTTTTATTTTGTTACCTTCGTCCTAGACGAAAGGCACCATAACTCATCATGTAATTCGTGTTAAGTTAGTCAAACACACGAAACCGAGTTATCATCTCTTCAGTTAGGTTTTGAAGAACGAAAGAAGAGTTTATGAAGCTGACCCCGAAAGAATCAATGGTCTCCCTCAACCGAAAGCAGAAGGCGAAAGAAGTCTCTTGAGACTATTTTCTTAAAGATGTGCTTGTCAAGACAATTCATCTCCTCTCAGCTCAAGAATAATGTTGTCAATTGTCCCATCTGTAGATCATCCTTGGAATTAATCTTTCCTAAGAATGAGAGCACATTTATCAAGATGCAATAAATGCCATAGTACTACTTTTCAGAGCAAGAAGACAAAATAAGCAAAGGTGTTTATCTCCAACGACTATGTAGTACAGCTGCATTTAATGAAGCAATAAATGCACAAGGCTCTCCGGTCTTTACCCACTGGATCATAGGTTTGAAATGCCATCTCCCTCCAACGGATGGATTTCTTCTCACCTATAAATACCCATCTTCTTAAGGATAGAAGTTGCTGGTTTTTAGAGCAATTGAATACTTTCTCTCAAAAGCTCCTTATACAAGTTCACTCTCTCAAGCTTTTGAAATCCAGTGATTCAAGGTTTGAAATTTGAAGAAGACATATCTGATTTCATTCACACAACCTTGAAGAAGTCTTGCAACTATGTACACGCTGATTATTCATCAAGTTACCTGCCAGTCAAGACTTCATCTTGTTGGAGAAACTCGAAGATTATTCACATCCAACCCTCAACTCTGAAGAAGACGTTGATAGAGGCGGAGTAAACTCGAGGAGTTGAAAAACCTTCAAGTAGCTGTCCGGCTTAGTTGTAACACCCCGATTTTCGAAACTTTTAAAACCTATATAATAAAGGTAATTTCTCATTAAATCCCAAACAGAGCATTACTAAACATAAGTGTGCGGGGTGCTATGCCACATCTGAGCTGGAGAACTCAGATGCACAGGCTATACTAACTAAATATCCTCAAAGAAATGTCAATACATCATCATGGCACGCAGCCCGAAAGGAAAACTAACTATCTACGTTTCGGGTCTCTAGCAAGCTCCGGAGTCTACTCATCTGTGCCTGAAAGCCAAATATACCTGTTCAGTGAATAATGCTGGTAACCCACTCTAACGCGTTAAAATACAATATAGGTAAGTGTGTATATATATACCATTTTGAAGTAGGAAGATATATACTTAGGAGACTCTAGCTTTAAAACCAGGATTAGACTCGACAGATAGGATAAACACATTCAACAAATGATAATCAATTATATAGAGACAACATCATAAAAACGCGTATCTAAGGTCACAGTTCACTTTCAAATCATTCACACCATTATTCAATCAATATCCTTGTCACACAAGCACACTTTGGTGGCGCCACACCAATCGCATGCCCAATCATGAGGGTTAGCGCATTTAGCTCTAACACGGCCCTGCAGCACCCTACCTCATACCGCAACATGAAGGAATTGACCGCAGCCAATTGTATAGACCGCCGATAGTTTCAACAGCGGATCACATCCCTACACACCGCTGACGCGTTCAGTCGGTGGACTGTGATCCTCTTTTGGGGACTGCGACCCTACACACCGCTTGACGAGCTCAGTCGGTGGGTCGTAGCTGATCATAGCCCTACACACGCCTGAGGGACTCATTCGGTGGGCTAGGATCTTTGGGGACTACGACCCTACACACCGCTGGCACATACACTCGGTGGATCGCAGCCGACCATAGCCCTACACACCGCCTGACAACTCATTCGGTGGACTATGGCCTTCCTCGGTCTAATGGCCCTACACACCGCGTGACGCGTCCAGTCGGTGGACCATTGCACACGAGGCCCATGGGTGGACCGCAGCCCTAGAAGTGAGTCACTGACCGTAGCCAGGATAATGAACCGCAGCTCATGAGTAACCAGTTTGACCGCAGCCAAGATAATGAACCGCAGCTCATGTATAACCAATTTGATCGCAACAAATTGGGGTATCATGCTCACATAACACATAGTAAACATATTGACACATTGGGAAAGGGGAGAACGTATAAATAAAACTTATGCGTGATTGTCCACACACTAAGAATATGTAACACCCCAGATTTTCAAGACTTTTAAAACTTATATAATAAAGATAGAATCTCGTTAATCCCAAAATACGATATAAAGAGTACGGGGTGCTATGCCACACCCGAGCTAGAGAACTCGGGTGCACAGGCTAAATTCTAAAACCTCAATCAGTATCAATACTAAATCATGGCACGCAGGCCGAAAGGGAAAACTATCTAAGCTACGCCCCAAGCTTCTAGCACGCTCCAGTGATCTACTCGTCTGTGCCTGAAAGCCAAATATATCTGTTCAGCGAGAGATGCTGTAACCCACTCCAACGCGTTGAAATACAATACATATAGACATATATATAGATATACGAAAACCATTTTGAAGCATGAAGACATATCATACGAGACTCTAGCTTTTAAAACAGGGATAGACTCGACAGATAGAGCTAAGCACAGACAGCAGTTATACCAAGCATATATAGTTCATAAGCATAGGGAAACAGGCAAGGCAGATAAAGATATGCACAGTTAATATCCATAACCGACATATATGATTCCCATCATAAACCCACAATCACATCCCAAGACACCCATAACAACTACTCATCCATATCTCATCACATAGCACACTTTGTTGGCGCCACAAGACCAATCGCATGCCCATACATGAGGGTCAGTGCATATAGCTCTGACACGGCCCCCCAGCACCCTGCCCCGTATCGCAACACGGAGGGGTCGATCGCAACGACCGATGAACCGCAGCTCATCATAGTTTGATCGCAACCAAACAGTGGACCGCAGCCAAGAGTATGTCATCTGACCGCAGCCAGGAAAATGAACCGCAGCTCATGTAGAAACGTTTTATCGCAACCAAACGGTGGACCGCAGCCCAAGAGTGTAAATCTAACCGCAGCCAGCTTCTGAACCGCAGTTCAGGAATAACCAATCCGATCGCAACCGAATTGGGGTATCATGCACACATAACACATGGCAAGCACATGCAACCCACATTAACACATTGGGAAGGGGGAGAAAAACGTATAACAAAACCTATGCGTGATCCTTCACATACTAAGAATAATCCTAAGGGTTCATACTTCTTTCACCTAGGTCAACGGATACCAATTCAACTAGCATGCGATATATAAGACTCATACAACCTACGAACGGTACCCGAAATATCAAACTAGACATAGGCACGATAGACAGAGTCCGTTGGGACACCACGGGGGTCGGGGAACATCAAACGGGGAAGCCAAAATCCCAAGGTGGGTTCAAACCAGCGGTAACCGGTGGGTGAGGGGTCACCCGCCGGCTGCCCGCCGTACTGTTCCGGGCAGCGGGTGCCGGCGGGCAGTTGCCCGCCCGCCGGCTGCCCGCTGCCGGCATTGCCCAAATAGGCCGCGGGTAGGTGGCGGGTCCCCTACCCCCACCTACCCCCCACTGACTCTTTTTCACCAAAAACGCCCCGGGAACCTTTGTGGAACCCGAAACCATGCTTAGACACTTTCAAACGCAATCGATAACACACGTAGACAATTAACGGATCAAAATCAAGAAACATATGACACATAACCTATCATGCTTTTCTA